ATGAAAAATTTAAAAAAATGTCATAAAAAAATTAAAAAATTTCCATGGGAAAATTGAAAAATGTGCCATGAAAAATTCAAAAATTTCCTTAAAATGTCCCCAAAAATGGACCATGAGAACACCGAGTTCAGCAACTGCTACATCTACAACAAGGTCAGGAAAAATTATAAAAAACACAGAAAAAACATGAAAAAAAAATCCAGGAATTTACCACAAAAAATTGGGTGAAAAAACAAAAAAATTCGGTGAAAAAACAAAAAAAATCGCGTGAAAAAATCGAAATATTCGTGTGAAAAATCAAAATATTCCTGTGAAAAATTTAAATTATTGCCATGAAAAAAATTAAAAACTGTCAATAAAAATTTAAAAAATTTCCATGGAAAAATTTAAAAATCTGCCATAAAAAATCAAAAATATTGCCATAAAAAATCAAAAATATTATCATGAAAAAACAAAAAAAAATCAATTAAAAATTTTAAAAAATCCGTGAATAATTAAAAAACATTCCCATGAAAAACCAAAGAATCCATGAAAAAAATAAAAAAATTGTCGTGAAAAATAAAAAATAAAAAAATTTAAATTCTTTGAGAAAAAAAGTCTAAAAATGCCCCAAAAATTAAAATAAAAAAATTCTAAAAATTCACTTTAAAATGGAAAAAAAAAAGGTGAAAAGTGAGGAAAAAATGCACAAAAAATGTGAAAAAAACCCACAAAAAAATCCAAAAAAATTCCCCCAAAAAATCAGAAAAATTCCCCCAAAAATTCAGGAAAATTCCCCCAAAAAATCAGGAAAATTCTCCCAAAAAATCCCCAAAAATTCAGGAAAAAATAAAAAAAAAATCAGAAAAAAGTTTATTAAAAATCTGAAAAAAATTCAGAAAAATTACTAAAAAATTCCCAAAAATTCAAATTTAAAAGTCCAAATAATTCTCTTTAAAGTGGAAGAAAAAAGCAGAAAAATGAGGAAAAAATGCTTGAAAAATTAAGAAAAAATTCAGAAAAAAAATCAGAAAAAATCTAAAAAAAATTCAGAAAAATTCCCCAAAATATTCCCAAAAAGGAAAATAAAAAATCCTAAAAATTCTCTTTAAAATGGTCCAAAAAATGCCAAAAAATGAGAAAAAAATGCCCAAAAAATGCGAAAGAAATCCGAAAAAATTCAGAAAAAAAATCCAAAAAAAATTTTTAAAAAATCAGAAAAATTCCCAAAAAATTCCCAAAATAATTCCAGAAAATTTTCTTTAAATCCTTTGGAAAAAATATCTAAAAATGCCCTAAAAATAAAGAAAAAATTATTAAAAAATCTTTTTAAAGGGGAAGAAAAAGAGCTGAAAAATGAGAAAAAAATGTCTGGAAAATGCCCAAAAAATGAGAAAAAATAGGGGAAAAAATTCCAATAAAAATCAAAAAAAAAGTCAGAAAGAATTCAGGAAAATTCTCAAAAAATAAAATTAAAAAATCCTAAAAAATTCTTTTTAAAATGGAGTAAAAAAATCCCGAAAAGTGAGAAAAAAAAGCCCGAAAAATCTGAAGAAAGTAAAAAAAAAATTAAAAAAAAATCAGAAAAAAAATTTAAAAAATCCCCCAAAAAATTCAGAAAAATTCCCCCAATTGTTCCCAAAAATTAAAATAAAAAATCCTAAAAATTCTCTTTGAAATGGTCAAAAAAATGCCGAAAAATGAGAAAAAAATGCCCGAAAAATGCGAAAAAAAATCAGAAAAAAATCCAAAAAAAATTTTAAAAAATCAGAAAAAATCCCAAAAAATTCCCCAAAATTGAAATAAAAAATGCAAAAAATTCTCTTTGAAATGGTCAAAAAAAAGCCGAAAAATGAGAAAAAAATGCCCGAAAAATGCGAAAAAAATCAGAAAAAAATCAGAAAAAATTAAAAAAAAAAAAAAAATTTGAAAAAATCCTAAAAAATTCAGAAAAATTCCCCCAATTATTCCCAAAAATGAAAATAAAAAATCCTAAAAATTCTCTTGAAAATGGTCAAAAAAATGCCAAAAAATGAGAAAAAAATGCCCGAAAAATGCGAAAAAAATCCAAAAAAAATTTTTGAAAAATTCCCAAAAAATTCCCAAAATTTAAAATAAAAAATGCAAAAAATTCTCTTTGAAATGGTCAAAAAATTGCCGAAAAATGAGAAAAAAATGCCCCAAAAATGCGAAAAAAAACCAGAAAAAAATATAAAAAAATTCAAAAAAAAATCAGAAAAAAATTTTAAAAAATCCCTAAAAATTCAGAAAAATTCCCCCCATTATTCCCAAAAATGAAAATAAAAAATCCTAAAAATTCTCTTTTAAATGGACCAAAAAAAGCCGAAAAATGACAAAAAAACGCCCGAAAAATGCGAAAAAAAATCAGAAAAAATTAAAAAAAAAATCAAAAAAAAATCGGAAAAATTCCCAAAAAATTCCCAAATTTTCTGGATCATTTCCCCACCCCTAATTCCCATTTTTTTTTTGTCCCCCAGCCCACGGATGACATCGTGCTGATGGCTCAGAATCCATTTCTAAAAAAAATCTCCAAAAAATAAAAAAAAATGTCCAAAAAATTCCAGAAAATTTTTTTAAATCGTTTGGAAAAAAATATCTAAAAATACCCAAAAAATGAACAAAATATTATTAAAAAATCCGTTTAAAATGTGAAAAAAGAGTCAAAAAACGAGATAAAAATGCCAGAAAAACGTAAAAAAAAAGAGAAAAAAATCCGAAAAAATTCAGAAAAAAATCCCCCAAAATTTTTTAAAAATCAGAAAAATTCCCAAAAAATGAAATAAAAAAATCCTAAAAATTCTCTTTAAAATGGACCAAAAAAATGCCGAAAAATGAGGAAAAAATACCCGAAATATCCGAAAAAACCCAGAAAAAAATAAGAAAAAATTCCAAAAAAAATCCAAAAAAAATCGGAAAAATTCCCAAAAAATTCCC